ATACTGTGTGATGAAAACATGCATATGAAATTTATACTAGAATTTACTTACTTACTTACGCCTGTTACTCCCAATGGAGCATAGGCCGCCGACCAGCATTCTCCAACCCACTCTGCCCTGGGACTTTTTTGTAGTTCCATCCAATTCTTGTTCATTTTTCTCATATCTATATCCATTTCTCGGCGTAATGTGTTCTTTAGTCTTCCTCTCCTTCTTTGACCTTGAGGATTGCAAGTGAGGGCTTGTCTTGTGATGCAGTTGGGTGTTTTCCTCAATGTGTATCCTGTCCACTTCCAGCGTTTCTTCATGATTTCTTCCTCCGCTGGGATCTGGTTTGTTCTCTCCCACAGTAGGTTGTTGCTGATAGTGTCCGGCCAACGGAGTCGAAATATTTTGCGTAGACATCTGTTAATAAACACTTGTATCTTCGGAATGATGGCTTTCATAGTTCTTCAGGTTTCCGGCCCATACAGTAGAACTGTCTTGACATTTGTATTGGAAATTCTGACCTTGGTGTTGGTTGACAGTTGCTTTGAGTTCCAGATGTTCTTCAGTTGTAAATATGCTGCTCTTGCTTTGCCGATCCGTGCCTTCACATCTGCATTCAATCCATCATGTTCATCAATGATGCTGACAAAATATGTAAGGGTTTTTACATCTTCCGAATCTTCTCCGTCAATTGTGATTGGATTGGTGCATGTTGTGTTGTATCGGAGAACCTTGCTCTTCCCTTTGTGTATTATTATTATTATTATTATTATTAATGGCTTTATTCAATATTATATTTTGGTACAATATAGAATTCTCAGCACAGGGTATTTCAACAAGTTACTTATGCAAACAAAAATAGTAACAAAGACAAAAAAAGTTTAAATAAAAATATCTGAAAAACAGTACAACATTTAAAATTAAAGTCATGTTAAGAATGCAGGTTATTGGCTAGATTAACTCTAACAACTTGTTCGTCACAGAGTATATTTGCTAGATAAGGTATTATAGAACATATGTACTTTTCCTCGCGTGCATGGATTTTAATGTAATTACGTCTCGTTCTACCAGAAGATATACAAGGAGAAAGATAAGAGTGAAGAGGATGGTTAGTATCTGATAAAATAACACCTGCCAGGAGTTTGCATGATTTTAAATGTCTATCCACAACCATATTAATTATGATCTCGATAGATTCACCACACATCTTGCTAACTGCCTTCAGCACTCTTCGCAATACAGCAAAGTCTTTTCTCAAAAGCCCGGGAAAGAATAATGGAGAACAGTAAAGAATAATAGGTAGTATGCAAGAATTGACAAATTGTAAGAGTAAATGACGAGTAATTCCAAGAGCATGCAATCTCTTCATGTAATAGGTCAGACGGAAAACCTTCTTCGATAACGATAAAACGTGGGAAGACCAAGACAGACCAGAGGAAAAGGTGACACCAAGATAATTGACCTTCGACACTGAGTTTATCAAAAAGTCTCCGATGGTACAAGCACTATGGGATCTCAAAATAGTATTTATATTCCGTTTATGTCTCATGCTAAAGTTAACAGCTTGACATTTAGACGGATTAAGTATGAGACCATTACCAACAGACCAACAATCAATACGAGACAAAAACTCATTCATTTCTATGGGATGTAAAGAGGAAGATATAGGCATACATACAGTGAGGTCATCCGCATACTTCACGAAAGTGTTTTCTGTGGAAGATGGCAGGTCATGCGGAAAAAAAAGAGAATAGAAGAGGTGAAAGAACAGCTCCTTGTGGTACACCTTCATGAGACAGTAGAGACTCTGAACTCTTTCTTTGAGACCTACTGCTGCTGAGGCTGTTGCTACACAGTTCGTCTTCTCCTGCATTTGTTGTTTGGTTTGAGATAGAAGGGCCAGATCATCTGCGAAGTCTAGATCTTCCAATTGCATCCTAGATGTCCATTGTATTCCGTGTTTCCCTTCAGATGTTGACGTCTTCATGATCCAGTCGATCACCAGGAGAAAGAGAAAGGGTGAGAGTAGGCAACTTTGCCTAACACCGTATTTTACGTCGAAGGAGTCTGGCAGCTCTCCTTCATGCACGATTTTGCAGTTTAATCCATCATAGGAATTCCGTATGATATTGACTACCTTCTGAGACACGCCGTAGTATCGAAAACGTTTCCATAGTGTTGTTCTGTCCACGCTATCAAATGCTTTTTCGTAGTCAATGAAGTTGATGCAGAGTGATGAATTCCATTCAACTGATTGTTCCACAATGATCCGTAGAGTTGCGATTTGGTCTGTACACGATCGATCCTTACGGAATCCAGCCTGTTGGTCTCGAAGTTGGGCGTCTACAGAGTACTTCACTTTGTTTAACAATACCCCGTTGAAGACTTTTCCCGGTATTGATAGAAGAGTGATGCCCCTGTAGTTATCACAGTTGCTGAGATCGCCTTTCTTTGGTATTTTGACCAGAAGTCCTTCTTTCCAGTCTGTTGGTACTTGTTCCTCATCCCAAATCCTGCTGAAGAGAATGCTGAGTATCCTCGCAGTTGCCGCTACGTCTGCTTTCAGTTCCTCTTTGATCTTTAGCGTCTTCATTGTAGTTGTTGGTAGGCGCATAGCATGGATGACGTTCATTGAATTGTCCTCTTTCTTTGTTTTGAAGAAGGCTTTGATGATTTTTGGTCCATGAGATTCCCATCATATAAGTGCATTTTGTGCTTGTTTGCGCAGCATCAATGCAACTCCTTGTGTACGTGGGGCATTTTCTTCATCATGACTGGAGTAAAACAGAAGCTCCTCTGAAGCTAGTCGTTGTTGTCCAACTTGCGTGCAATGTGTTTCACTGATCCCAAGCACCTCTAGCTTGTATCTCCTCATTTCTGCAGCAATTTGGAAGACTCTCTCAGTCTCCCACATTGTACGAGCATTCCATGAACCTAAATAAATGGTTACTCTGGTTGTCAGAAGGGGCATCGGCCTCGTTACTTCCGAAGGAACTCAGCTTCCATCATGAGGCGTCATAACTCTTCTAAATGTAAACCTTCTGACTCATAGGGAAGAGTTCAAATGGTTTGAATAATTTTTTTCTGGTTATCGTTCTTTTAGCGAGTTAGTTTTCTACGGGATGGGGTCGCTAACCCCATGCCCAACCCTCCTTCTTTATTCAGGCTTGGGTCCGGTGGTAGCCCACGGAGGGGCTACAGTAGGAGTTATATTAGAACTAAGCTTGTTAATATATCAGGTTGACGTTGATGAAAAGTAAACAATGTAAGTAAGGCTGAAATTCGCGTACTCGGAGCTGGACTTAAAAGTGTTGTGCCAGCTGTTTGAGCTCGTTTTAGATGCTGAAAAAACCAGACCAATAACTGCAATAGGCTTTTATTAAGATCATGAAGCAGAGCAGTTGGACCTCGTAGTTCTGATTTAGTCCACTGAGCGTTCACTCTGAAATTGGTGCGGTAAATAAATCTCCAAAATCAATAGCGCTGTAAGTCTTCGACGTCTGATGCTAACCGCATTAGTTTTACCGGACTGACCTAGCTGAACGCGCTCGGTCATGCATCCGCACCGGAACAGGAGTGGGTAGGCCGTGCAGAACATCCATTTCAACTGCTAGATTACTTGGACCAAACGTTCCTTCGACATAAGTTAGCCTTTTAAGTATATCTTCGAACTTTATCGTTGGCTTCTGATTTGACTAGGTTGGCATACCTCAATTATAAAGGAGTTACCGGTTAAGACATGATCAGACCCTGAATATTTGTGGCATCTGTATCCTCATTGTGTGATTAGTATGGATACACATCTCAGATTATTGTGATCATAGTTGGAATAACTATCCACTTGTAATGGTGGATTACAAGACCAAAGAAACGGTTCTGAGTATTATTGGTTTGCGTACCGAATTCTACTATTTCTCATTAAAACACTGGCGTTGTAGTAGAGTAAGTTCTCCAAAATTTGAACACTGGTTGATACGATTAGTTCTTTAAAGACTACACGGAGGAATTTGAAAGCTGGTGTACGATCTGGAAAGATATTAAAAATGATAAGGTCTCAGCCTATTCCCACATATTCATTATAGAAAATGGGTGTAAGCTGCCCAAGAATCTGGCCTTCAGCTAGATGAGTCCAGTGAAAATAATGCTGATGGTGTCACAGGTATTCAGTGTTTGACAACGCTTTTACCAGTAACATCTAATATATTTCGTTCCCACCCAGAGAAATCAAAAGACAGAGTCGAGGAGATCGGAAGAGTATATTTGGCGATGACCAATATATCGGAATTCTCTGATCTAATCTGGCTAGCGATTGCGGTTGACGTTGAGCACGGCGTTACCACACGTGATCTGGTGCGGATGCCTGACCGAGCGCCTTCAGCTAGATGAGTCCACTAAAACATATGGTCAGCATCCAATGTCGAAAACTTACAGAGCTATTTATTTTGGGGATTTATTTACCGCTACAATGCGGTCAGCATCAAACTTCGAAGACTTATAGCGCTAATGCTTTTAGGGTTCATTTACTGCTACAAGGATACATATGTGGTCTGTAACCATAGACAGATATATATCAGTGTTCTCCTGTCGTAACAGCGCATAAACGAGGACAAGAAGCATATGTGTACAGAAGCGTATTTGTCAGCGATGAACATCATGTCATGCAAGAGGAGTTGAAAAATGAGACGGAAGAATGAAGGTCACGTGTTCTTTAAACAACAGCCTTACATTCGATAATGGTTACTGTAAAAATTAACATAACTAGTTTTAAAATAAGTCTATATTGAATATCCAGGCAAACCTCACAAACCGAACCTCTGCAGAATTCGTAAACTACTCTTAGTGCTACGTACCAAATATAATTATTTTTAGTTGCAATTTTCTGGGCAGATCAGCACGTATATTCTCCTTGTTTTCATGATCATTGTGTCAAAATAATTTTGTTTTAACAGACAATTTGTTTGCGCCACTGGTATTGGACGTTTGGAGGCATTTAGTGGGTCGAGTTTTTACAGATGGAGTCGAGGAAGGTGTCTTTAAGTGCTAATGCTTTGATTGGAGGCAAATGGAGACTTGTACGAAAGATCGGTGGTGGATCGTTCGGTGACATATATCTTGGACAAAATATGTTAACTGGAGATGAAGTTGCAATTAAATTAGAACCTGTGACAGCCCGACACCCTCAGCTGCTTTACGAGAGCCGAGTTTATCGAGTTTTACAAGTATGCCAAATAGATTCATCACTAGTATTCTCAGAACTCATCAGGAGTGCCGCGGGTTTATTGGTTTGGACCTGACGGTGTAAGCAATCGGTACAAAGCTATGGTTATGGATTTACTCGGTCCAAGTCTTGAAGACTTATTTACTTTTTGTGGACGTAGATTTTCAGCCAAAACAGTGTTAACTCTAGCAGAGCAGATGTTATGGCGCATCGAATGTGTTCACTACAGAGGTCTTATTCATAGGGACATCAAACCTGACAACTTCTTAATGGGGATCGGTCCACACTGTAACAGAGTGTTCATTGTAGATTTTGGATTAGCCAAAAGATTCAGAGATCATAGAACAAAATGCCATATTCCATATAGGGATGACAAGAATTTGACAGGTACAGCACGTTATGCTAGCATAAATGCGCATGCTGGTATCGAGCAGTCCAGACGTGATGATATTGAATCTCTTGGATATGTTTTTATGTATTTTCTCAGAGGACACCTTCCGTGGCAGGGACTAAAGGTACGGTAAGATTTTACGTTTTGTTTCCCAAGATTTTTGGCTAATTAATTATCATAACGTTCTCTGGAATCAAGATTTTTTATCCGCGTGTTGTAAACATTTACGGCTATGCTATGTATAAACTGGTTAACCAAGATTATAGTCCACTTTTATTTCGTCTCTAACCAGTGGCCGCAACACTGAAAATGTTATTAGTTTAACTAAAAGCAATGGATTTCTGGTTTCATAAAATTCCCTGCCTGCTGAACAATCAGTGTTTACGTCGTTAAACTCCCACCGAATTCCTGCTCCGCGAATCAATGTTTGAAAAGTAGACCACACTGGAAAACCAGTGTTTATCTTACTTTTAACCCGAGTTAGTGAGCGACCACATCTCAGATTTCTCAGTAAACTTAGATATTTCATTTTCGATTTGTTACATTAACCGAAAATCCTGTGGCTCATAACTGAGCAAGTGACAACTATCGCCTCGTGTTTAGGTTAACTACTGAGATATCAACAGAAATGATAGTGCAATATTTTTACTTATATAAATATGCTGAAGAACTAGGATAGCATGGAATGATATCCGAAAAGCTGTGGAAACAGCAGTGATATCTGCTAGTACAAAAACCCGTAAGGTTAGGGAGCAACACTGGATCTCAGCAGCATCTATCGCACTGATAGATACTCGGAAACTCATTCCACCTGGCTCTGAGCATAATGAAGAACGGAGTCAGCTTAAGCGCAAGCTGACAAGAAGTCTACACAATGATCGCGAACAGTGGTGGGTAGCGAAAGCAAGAGAGATGGAAAAGGCAGCGGCAATAGGTAATAGCAGACAATTGTTCAGACTCGTTAAGGAAACCGGAATTAGGAACCCGACTGTTAGCGAAACAATCTCAGAGAAAGATGGACATATTATTCATTCTCAATCCAGGAGATTGGATCGATGGGCAGAACACTAGGGATCAGTTCAACTGGCCTTCAGCCACACTTCGGTTTCCCACGATCTCCAGTCAACCTGAATGGGAAGGTAATGTAGGTCCTCCGACTCTTTATGAAGTTGAAAAAGCCATAGGAAATCTGAAGCGAGAGAGAGCAGCAGGCCCTGACAGGTTTATGCCTGAGATTTTTAAGGATGGCGGTCCAGTATTAGCAATGAGATTAATCGAGGTCTTAGGTAGAATTTGGGAACTGGACGTAATCCCATCTGACTGGTCTCAGTCACTGATTGTGCCAGTCTATAAAAAAGAACAAAAGTCCTCTTGTGACAATCACAGAGGAATCAGTTTGACTAATATAGTGTCTAAAATATTAGCTTCAATAATACTTCGACGCCTAATTAAAGCTCGTGAAGAGCAGACCAGAGAAAACCAGGCTGGTTTTCGACCTGGACGTGGTTGTATAGACCAGATATTCACACTACGTCAGGTTCTAGAACACAGACACGTTCAGATGCCCCACAATCGTAGTATTTCTCGACCTTAAAGCAGCATTCGACTCTGTTGATCGTGAGGTTCTATGGCAGTGTTTGTCATTGAAAGGAGTACCAAAGAAGTACATTAACCTTGTAAAGGCTCTCTACTCAAACGCAACTGGTAGAGTGAGAGCTTATGGCGAACTGTCATCAGAATTGATTACCTCAAGTGGTGTTCGTCAGGGCTGCCCACTCTCTCTATTCTTGTTCAACTTCGTCACTGACGTGCTTCTAGAGATAACACTTGCCTCGTCTAAATTTCCAGAGGTTGAACTTCTACCGGGAGATTCACTTGTTGACTTGGAATATGCCGATGACAGTTCTATTTGGTGAAGACGCTGACAAAATGCCGAGTCTTTTGACCACTCTAAGCAACAATGCAAGCATGTTCGGCATGTGATTCTGCCCCTCGAAATGCAAAATGTTGCTTCAGGATTGGGAGTGAAGTAGTTGAGCGTGTCGACCGCTTCACTTATCTTGGAAGTCTCATCAGCCCTTGTGGTTTAGTGTGTGACGAAATCTCAGCACGGATACAGAAGGCTCGACTAGCTTCTGCCAACTTGCTTCATTTATGGAGTAGGCAAGATATCCGTCTATCAACCAAAGGACGTGTTTACTGCGCAGCAGTTCGTTCCTTCCTACTTTATGGCAGTGAAACATGGCCGGTAAGAGTATAGGATATTCGTAGGCTACTAGTATTTGATCATAGGTGTCTTCGAAACATTGCTCGTATATCATGGGACCATCGAGTAAGTAACGCAGTTGTTAGGAAACGGGTACTAGGTAAGGATGGCAAATCGATTGATGAAGTGGTGAAACTTTATCAGTTGAAATGGCTGGGACACGTGTTACGTATGCCCAACGACCGACTGCCTCGACGTGCGATGTTCAGTGGTATAGGAGTAGGTTGGAAGAAAGCTAGGGGCGGCCAGACCAAAACATGGCACAAGTCCATGAAGTCACTGACAAGTGGACTAAGTCATGTTGGTATGTGTAGACTCCCTGGTTGGGGACCGCGAAATGATAGCAACCGATGGTTAGAGACCCTGAATGACATGGCTCAAAATCGTTTGCAATGCCGCAGGTGCATCCACTCTTTGTGTTCTCCCAAATTCTAATCTCCTGATTCCTCTTTGTCTCTTTTTTTCTCTTCCCAAATTTATTTCACTGTATTATACTCTTTAAATAACGTCTCCAAACCCTAATTTTCCTGATTATTGTTTATACTCTTATTACCTCTACCACTATGGGATTTGAATCGACCACTGCATCTCTGTGCTAATGTGGTATGGCAACTCGAACTGATGTACGTACGTACGAAGTTCTACGTTGTTATTGACCGACTGACTGAAAGAACTAGGATGTCCACTTTATTATTACATCTATGGCCTACAAGGTGAATATTTTACTTTAAGGGCTTAGTTACCCACCGTTCATTTTTATTACTTACCAATCTCTTTAGCTTTAGATAAACCAGTGTATGTAGCGCTTGTTGTCATGTTCTTTTAACTGAAGTTATAATGAAAGCTCTCATAGTATTCAGTTAGTACTTTTTAATTCTCTGACTAGACAATGTTGCTGCTGTAGTTTGTGAATGGAAATAGCTATAGGTCGTGTTCAGCACTAATTGAGAACTTTGTGTGAGTTACTAGCATTTGACTGTCCCCAAACCATGACGCTTACCGTAGGATAACTAAATAAATAGCTCTAAGATCAGACGTAGGGTACCTGATTTATGTTGGTTTAGGTTGTAAATCTTCGACTGAGGTCTATGTGTCGTGTTACTAACACCTACCGATTGTTTCAAGACTTCAGGTACGCCTTGCTAGCAAGTCCCTAGTAGCTTATAACCTATGTTCAGAGTTTCCTACTGACTGCCTCCAGTCATTCAATATTCCAACTCGTTTTTACCGTTTATCCTTTTATTTTTGTCTTACTGCGCACGTGTCGAATGACAACTTGAACCACGCTTTTTACCATTTACTTGGACCAATAAGCACATTATAGGCCCTAGATTGGCTGTGTTTAACTGGTCATTTTTAGCATTGTATTCCCAACAAATCAGTCGAGTATGATGTTCGCTTAATAGTCAAAGAAATACACCATATAGTTGACGTAAAAAGTATTTCGGTAATTCACTTGTCAATTATTGAGACTGGACGACTCTAATTTTTCGGGTTGTTCCCTTTAAATAAATTTCGATGTAAACTCAACTCGGAAAAACCAGTGCTAATACGTCCTAGGAACGACCTTGGCTTTTTGTCACTATGGGTGGGATGTTAGTGAGTTCCCTAATCATGGCTATACATAACTGCGAAATGCCGGAAAATGCATCTTAATAGTACCTAGTGTAGCGACTTTACTTAAACTGTTTATAGAGTAAGCTCTGTCGCAGCTAATGTTTTGCACATACGCCGATAGCGCCAACGTATAAATATATGATAGGGTCTTCTCAGCACTTGAAGTAACCTGGTTTGTCAGTTAGGTGCAAATTTTCAAACTAACCCATGCCAACATACGCGTCCTAATTATAAAAGACGTAAAAGCTGGGGCTATCTTGACAAAACAAGATAAACAAGCTGAATTCCGTGAGGATCGATCGTGCACAGACCAAATTATGACGCTATGGATCGTCGTTGAACAATCAGCTGAGTGGAACTCATCATAATACATCAAATTCATTGACTATGAGGCGTTTGACAGTGTAGATAGGACATAAATTACGTAAATCACCAAACTGCATCACGAGGGAAGCCCTAACCAGAAATCCTAAAGCGAAGCCGCAAAGAGGAAGACCAAAGAAAACACTACGTCGGGAACCCGACCGTTGTTGTTACTTTAATGTGGTGGTCGGGCCTGGCCTATCGAAATGAACCATTGGACTTATACTGGCCGGAACAATCGTCCCTCAATGTCTTATTTTACCCAAGAGGTCCCTTGAAGAGCTGTAAGACTAAAAGCAACAAACCCAAGGCCGTAGAGCAAAGTCGTACTGCTGGCTGTACAGAGGTGTGGCGGCAGTGAGATGTTTCCTTCAGACAACGAGAATAACGGCGATGCTGCCTTCTCACAAAGGAAGAGGGGTTATAAAAGGTCGATCCTAAAAATGCACATCCCGCCTTACCCAACGGATTTCCGTCTTCGGCAGTCAGGTTCCAACACGTACGGAGGTAACACGCAAATTACTCACGACAAAATCGTGTGTGACCGGTCACAAACAGTTGTCCCTTGGGTACTGCGGTCACACTCTCAGGTCATTAGGACCACTTCTAACCCAATGTCCTTTTCAGGTGCCTCCAGAAAAACCCTTCCACGGTGTGGGCAACCGGAAAGTGAAAACCTCCCTCAAACCTCTAGCAGCACTTGAGATCACTGTATTCATAATCAATTTCCTCCTTCAATTCCTGTTATTCCTCCTGCGTCGACTTTCAACTATAAACTTCCTCCACAAGTGTCATCATAATCAGTGATTCTAGTGCGCATATTGCTATCCCAAGTTTCCTGAAACCGCTCCAAACTACACGTTAAAACCTTCAACGTACGCACACTATGTCAAATCGCCCGGCAGGCCTACTTGACTGAGAATCTAGAATCTCTCACCATTTATGTATGTTGTTTCTCCGAAACACGCGTACAGGATTCAGTGGTCATTCACTTGACCTCAGTTCAGCTGGTCCTCAGCTACCCTGTGCATCTACTCAACATTCCCAGACAGCCTGAATGGAACATTGAAGTAGGTCCCACAACTCTAGCTGAAGTTCAAGAGGTTATAGCTAATCTGAAACGAGGAAGAGCAGTTGGTCCAGATGGATTGGCTCCAGAGGTCTTTAAGTGTGGTAGTCCAATTTTAGCGATTAAGTTGAGTAACATTTTAGCTAAAATCTGGGAGTTGGACGTAATCGCATCTGACTGGTTGCAATCACTGATTGTCCCAATACATAAGAGAGGGTTAAAATCATCCTGTGATAACCATAGAGGGATTAGTTTAACTAATATAGTATCTAAAATACTAGCCTCGATAATTATCGAGCGCCTAGCTAAGACTCGTGAACTGCAAACACGAGAGAACCAAGCTGGCTTCAGACATGGTCGTGGCTGCATCGACCACATATTCACCATTCGTCAGGTTTGAGAACACAGGCATGCTTATCGGCGTCCGACAATGGTGGTCTTTCTTGACTTAAAAGCAGCATTTGACTCTGCTGACCGAGAGGTTCTGTGGCAGTGTGTGTCGTTGAAAGGTGTAGCTCAGAAGTGCATAAACCTTGTGAAAGCTCTTTACTCGAACACTACTGATGGAACCAATGTTCTCGTTGACTGAATTTTCGGGAATTGATCTCCTACCAGGAGATCCGTTTATCGACTTAGAATACGCAATGATATAGTTCGGTTTGGTGAAGACGCTGATAAAATGCCCAGGATGTTTGTGATGCGTTTCTCTCGCTCTAATTGCGAATTGTTGCTTCAGGACTGGTCCGTGTCAACACCTGAACTAAGGATAGGGAGTGAAGTAGTCGAACGCGTTGACAACTTCACTTATCTTGGAAGTCTGATCAGCCGTAATGGGTTGGTGTCCGACGAAATCTGCACAGACTCGAAAAGCTCGTTTGGCTTTTGCCAACTTACGTCACCTATGGCAAAGGTGAGATATCCGTCTCTCAATTAAGGGACGAGTATACTGCGCAGCAGTTCGATCTGTTCTACTTTACGGCTGCGAAACGCGACCATTGAGGGTAGAAGATACTTGCAAGCTACTAGTATTTGACAACAGATGTTTTAGAAATAATACTGGTATCTGCTGGGCTCACCGGGTAAGTAATAGTGAGGTTAGACGTAGGGTATTGGGGAATGATGCTAAATCAGTTGATGAGGTTGTGAATCTTCATCGACTGAGATGGTTGGGTCACATGTTGCGTATGCCTGAACACCGATTACCACGACGCGCAGTGCTAACCGGTGTTGGGGATGGTTGGAAGAAAGTTGGGGGCGGCCAAAGCAAAACGTGGCATCAGCGCTTGAAGTCATTAACTTCTGGTCTGAGTCATGTTGGTAGATGTAGACTACTTGGTTGGTGTCCGCGCGAATATCGTAACCAGCGGTTGGAGACTGTGGGTGGCATGGCTCAGAATCGATCACAATGGCGTCGGTGTATACATTCTTCGTCTTCTCTCAAACCATGAGATTAAAATCGCTTCATATCATTCTTTCTACAAATTAATACTTACTTCTTGTTCTTTATCGTTATTACAATCTTTATTTATATATTTCCACCATTGAAGTAACTACTTCTTTGTATCCGATGTTCATCAAAGTTGATAATGAGGATAGAAGATTGATTTTGAATCGTGTGCTGTCATAGGTATGCGGGGTGTTTTCGATTCACCGTTGTATACATCCGGCAAGCATACTTACTGAGTTACCCGAAAAGGAAACTGGGTCAGGTGGTATTCCTGATGATCGGCTAGAGTGACTTTCGGATCACTCGTGACTTTTATTGTAATTCTCGATACGTAAATTGCATACATTTAAGGCCTTATCACCGTCAACGAAAATTCGTCAGGCAAGGTGACGTGTACTGTTTCGAGACCGATCGTTTCAGTTGTACGACTGTGTATGGCTTGACAAAAAACAATAAATGGTTTCGAAGCTACACATCCAGCTATGTAGAATATGAACATATAATATTTACGAAAAACGCTTGTTTGTTAAACGAATTCAATTCAATTTTATGACATTGAAGATAACGTGTTTGCTTGTTTGAAACCTAGGATTTCATGCACTACGTCGTAAAAAATTGCTTCCGACTAGACTTAATTTACAATGCTTCACTAGAATGGTTTAATAGCTCTGTGTCACAACTGACGTAAGTATATCAACAACTTGCAGTTAACTATAATAGTTGAATAATGTGTTAATTACATGAGCTTATATATGTGTATATACCCTTGTCATACGACAGATTCTTAGGTAAAGCTGTTAGCGCTATTTTGGTTCAGTATAATGTTCCTGCGAAATCGACTTGTTCGCGTAATGCACCAATTACAGTACTGACTTTATCCTGATTTCGTGATCACTTAAATGTTCTCTCTCCACTTAAATCTTGTATATTTAATTATCGCTATGACTCCCGCTATCAACACTCCGTTTTTTTGCCCTGATTGTGTTACCCTGAATGAGTAATAGTGCATTTTCAATCGCATAAAGAAACTTGTAGTCTGGAGAGCCACTTGCACAATTTCGATGAGTAGAGGGAATAATTATGGGTTCCCAGATCGGTACGTTCACATCCAGGGTGTTAGGAGTTGGGTGTTTGTACAGCGAAAGCTGTAACTCAACTAATCAACTTTCAACCGATTAGTGCTAACATTTAGCATAGAATCTGTTAACAAACATTCCTTAGTTCAACTTTTTGAAAAGTTTTCTCCAAATATATATATATATATATATATATATATATATATATATATATATATATATATATATATGATTTATTTTCGTGCTGTTTGTAAATTTTTCAATTTATATCGGTAGCTACAGCTAATATCTGTTCTCACATTTAAACTGGTTCCTAATTCGTATCTAAATGGTTGTGTTTATACAGCTGATCGGACAAACTTTATGTGACAACTAGGTCGATCTACTTGTGTAAAAGTTTGTGTTTAGAAAAGTACGGATAACTTCTGAGTTTCCAAGATTTGGGGCAATGTTCGTACATGCATGTTCAGGAGTAGCCAGTCATTTATTTAAAAAATCAACGATCAAAACCTTAAGTTCAATTGAATACTAAAAATCATATTTTACTCAGATATCATTAAATCCGAACAAAATAAATTATTTAAATTTAACTAAGTGATCTCTATCCTTTTGAAAATAGTAGCTATGCAAATTTGTGGCCCTACCACATTGAGGTCCCTTGTTGTGGGGAACTGTTTTCTTCCAACTGAAGATTTTTAGAAATTTTCTCTTAGCTGTCATGCAGTCTATTGTAGTGTTACTAGATGTTATCATTCGAATTCACCCATATAGTGTTTTTGTCCTAATTGTTACACAAAATGTTAATTTTTCAGGCAAATACTAAAAAGCAAAAGTACGAACGTATATATGAGAAGAAATTAGCTACGTCACCTGAAGCCCTATGTAAAGGTTATCCTGTAGAATTCGAAAAATATTTGCATTTCGCTCGTGGTCTAGCTTTTGACAGCCTTCCGGACTATGTCTTCTTGAGAGGGATTTTCCGCCGTTTGTTTCAAAGCCTTAATTTTGTTCTGGATTATGTGTATGATTGGGCACTTCTGGGTACAAATTCTTCTAATACTAATCAGTCAATAATGAATGCTAATCCAGAGTGTGAAGATAATGCGAATCAGCATCAAAATAATGCAGAATGTCAGGGAATCGATAACACAGTGGGGGCAGCTCAATGTGCGCTTCCAGCACCTCAAGTATATGGAAATCATAACCACCATAATATACCTGTCCAGCAATCACAGCCTCAGCAAGTGCTTCCACATGCACACAGCCGTGAAGGAGTTCAGCAATCAACATTTCATTCTCAATTCGTTAGTCAGTCTGGAAATTCAGGCACCCAAACAAATGCGTATAATGCTCCTGGCACAAGTGTAGAGTATGGTATGCGTTGTATGCCCACAGAAATGCGCCGTTAATTCCTTCAGGATTATACAAATAACTTATGCCACTTTCAGTTAATCGCGCGTGGAGATAATAAACTCTGCAGTCAAATTTCATTTCTGCCATCATTAATTGGAATTTCAACTTGTTTACTCACTGACAATTAACATCGTTATTTACTTGTGAATAATATTTAGATTCCCACAAAGTTCTCATGCGCTTTCTCTACCTCTCATCTCAAATCAATGCTTTATTAAATTGATTTCATCCGGGTACTTATTAAACCTGTACTCAATACTATTACGTTTATGTGAAATTAACATGCTCAAACAGAGCACTATCTTCCAATGTTAACTTGCTTGACTGTACTTGTATTCCGGTGTCCACTTTGAGCAGGCTGTCCTGCGCTTCATTGTTTTATTGGTATATTAAATGAAGTTTAGTGCATAATCTTTTGTTCATACGGTTTCGTGCTGTAGAACAATATCAAGCAAATTCTTGTAGTGAGCAGTTTTCAATATTACTCAGGTACTTCAGAACTGATATAATTTTCTGTCAAAAGTATTTTGGCACAAACTGTTAATCAATTTGCTTGCAGTATTATTATTGTCACTTAATATCTGTTGTGTTCGATCATTTTTGTAATACACATTGCTGAAGGCTATTTATCTAGTGGTATACCCGTTCAAGTATAAATTCTAGACACTCACGAAAATAAATTTATCAACACGATATGTAACACTCAAGTTAGATTACCGAATTCATCCTGAAATCGGACATTTGTCACACAATACCATATTAAAGTAGTCTTACAATTTGTGACAACTTTCTTTGTTGTAATGTGTATTCTTCAACTGGCTCCGAAGAATTCCGCTCGTCAATGATTTACGTTTATATGTTCAGTGGGTTGTTTGCTGCATGGCAATCGAAGATAGTTAATGAGTTACGGTTCGTCAATCAATTTGTTTTTAAATTGTCAGGTAGTATTATTATCATCAGAAAGCCATAAGACGAAAACATAATTAAAATTGTGTGTCACATACAAAAACGTCCATATGCCACAATATAATAGTATTTATATGGCAGTTCTATTAGCAACGGTATGTGTTTAGCGTTTTTTTCAGGGAAACCGTTTTTATTTAACCAAGTTCCTTAAGGGATGTAATCAAAAGTAACTGATTTGGTATAAAATATACAATCCTCCCTCTCGAAGGGTAATGAAGTCAAGCATTTAACTACATTTCTGTGGGCTGTTTACCTGTTGGTTATAAAATGTACTGCACTTTCAGTCAGCGATTGTACACTGATGACAATTGTTTATATATATATATATATATATATATATATATATATATATATATATATATATATATGCAGTACACTTTATATACTTCGACCCATTGAGGTTTCTCTGAGATGACCGGACATCCTGTTGGGAATAACGTCTTCATGGGCTGTTGTAGATGAACCATTTAAGAGGCAGCACTGATTCACCATAACAACAAACTATAGACAAGGATTGGATTGCATTTAATCCCGCATGTACTGGACTTACAGCGAATATCGTGCTACCACAATCTGTTTGCTGATCATAATTTAATAAAACGGGAGGATACAACCATTATTGTCGCAGGCTTTCAACCTAGGTTAGTGCGATCTCTCAGGCTTCGTTATTATCCCTGCAACACCAAGGCAAAATACCTTACTCTCATTGCCATAGTGTATCGCTACACTGACTTCCAATCTTTGAACACCAGGTTAATTACACCAGTCGCGTTTTCAGGTAATCCGTTTCAATCCCAATCTCTTTATCCAGGCAATACTTTGCTGATGCAATACATTAACATCCGCTTCACTAAATAAGTCTTTACAATAGTAAATTGAACATCTCGACGGGGATTTAATCCAGTTCATTTAGAAGTAAGATCAATCTATGAAAGCTCCGAAAAGTCTATGCTTACCACTGTTGCGATGTTTGGCTTTCGGAAATGAGAGATAGAGATTCCCATCTCTCCGAAATGGGGGTGCCGGGAGTATTCCTAATGACTAGTGGCAACAATATAAGTAGGAATGGAATCTAAAAATGGATTTCCAAGAGTTGTTACTCATTTTAGCTTAAAACGGCTTCGGTGGTTTAGACGCTCTACAAATGTTTACTGTATGTATAAGTCCAACTATGGTGGTGATTATATTCTTGCTTGTCGACTAAATGTCACCACTTAAAAACATAAAGCTGAGATAAGGCTGCAATTATGTATTCTATATTGTGATTATTATTTTGCCGAGGTTTAGTTGGTTTCATACTCTGAAATATATATACTGTCTACTTACTGTTTTGTTCTACGTGTAAAACTGACATCAGAAATTCATTGCGTCTTCGTTTCTATAAATTTCAGTTCAATCAACAAAGTTCATACTTTTTGCGTGATGAAACACTGCGTTGTGAGAACAGTAGTTCGAGTGAAATTTTTTTGCTCAGAGTTTAGAAACAGCTTAGAACTTAAAATTATTTGTTTATGTGGAATGAAGTATATGCAGAAACTAATTAGTTTTCACCCACAATAAATACTCGTAATCAGATGGTTTGCGCGACCTACATTTTTCCTAAAAAGACTAATTATGTTTCGTCATGTAGGTTTTGATTTACGGTCTTGACTAAAGGGATGCATGTTGAGATCAGACGCATTATATCCCCTCCAGACGTGTCTTAACATATGTTTGAATAATCCTCTAGTTTATTATCGAAGAATATCGGGAGAAATTGTTTCTGTTCGACTCCGACTTACAACTACCATACATGTCCTCCTGGTTACAGTTTTTAATCTTTTATTACGACAGGAAAATCTTGCTGCTGCAGTAGTATTTCCTTACTACTGAATGTCGATATAGTTTGAAACCGTGGTATCCCGAAAATATGGGTTATAGGTCGTTGTGCTTTTCTTTTAATTGATGTGTGACCTAAATTGTCTCCTTCGCTTTTTGTTCGGTAAGTTTGTAATTATCAAATCTTATCATTGGACAGAGGTCATGATTATTCATAGGAAGAAAATAGAGATTATTTATTATGTTTTCCAGTTCGATGTGGAAGTTTGTAGATTGTACAATGATATAGCTATCTGGAATTTATGTAGAAGGGCGAAGCGAATTTATTCTACGGAAAATTCGATGTTTGAAAGAGTTGAAATAAAGAAGGTTGGATAAGTCTTATGCATCTTGCAATAAAGGTTCAGTGTTTACGGACCTACCTAATCAACTAATAAAGGAGAAAATACGTTGCGAAATTTGCTTATTTAGTTAAACACATAAACATTGGTACAAGGAGGCACCAAATACATATGCGCCACATAAGTCATTCGATTTGTGTGAGGGCTGTGATACTGCCCGGGTGCCCAGACCGAAGCAGGTGGTCTTCTTAGGGGGCCACACCCCGAACCTTTGACCTCAAGATCTGACACACAAGGCAGTGGAACATCGTGAGGAGATATATATAGTCCCATGGTAGCCGGTAGCGTTGGAAAATAGTGGGTAAACGCGCATTTAAAGTCAAACAAGCTTTCTCAACACTTAGTCAAAGAGTTTCCCATGGAGTAAGGAAGTTAGCGCATGTCTAAAAGATGTTTATTGAGAACGAAGTTGAATATGAAAAATATTCCACTGGCTATTTTTTTCGTAAGGTCTGTTTGACTATTGTGAATCAAAATAATCTTGTGAATTCTGAAATTTAAAGAACAGAAAGTGCTGCGATATCTAAATGACATTTTTTTACACAATTAGCTACGTGAAGCTTTAATTGGGGTTATGTTCGCTAACAGTGAAGACTGTACCCATTCATCAACCGCGTCCATATGGCCATCTGTAGTAAGATCAAATGACCAAATTAGTCATGTTGACTTACAAATCTGTCCCTTATGTCTTACTGCTGAAGACAAGCGTCTAAGGTTTCCAGTTCCTCTTCAGATTATGAAGGGAACTGTTGACTTGAAAGTCCGCAAACGAATTTCCGCGGGTGTTTACGCTCACCAAACTTCGACAGTAACTGCTTCATATTGACACTAAAGTCAGAAATACACGACGATATGTCCTGCAGTACAGTATACAGCCTGTTAAATCCTAAAAACTTAACTCAATCGGACACGTGACTTACTCGTCCGCTGATGCACTGCCCAAACGCCTATATTTGTACGTTGATGGCGACGTATCCAGTTGTGTCGAACTAGTTAATTAACATCTTAAAAGTAAACAAACGTACTTGGCAGTCGATAAGACAAATGCCCTGGTATGGCCGAGAGCAGGGTGGGTTCGCCCTCCCTATCGAAATACTCTCACACGGCCACGCGTATAGAGCCTCTGCCAGGGAAGTCCTACTCACTGCCTTCATCTGGCGGGGGAGTTGTTTATGAAAATGAGAGGAATAAAAGTGAATGTCCGGCGCTTTTACCGGATCCCAAACCAAATCAATGGTGCTCGTGGGTTCCAGTATCCTGGGGGAACAAATAGTGTATGTCACGAACCAATCGTTGATCACCGGCTACCAAGGGACTGCATCTCCTCACGATGTTCCACTGCCTTGTGGATTAGACCTTTAGGTTAAAGGCTCGGGGAGTGGCCTCCTAAGATAACCACCTGCTTCGGTCTGGGCATCCGGGCAGTATCAGCCCACACACAAATAAAGTGAAGGTGAAAATGATTATATTTACTGAAAATTCTATTCACGCCTCAATTGACAGTCAAACAATTCACATTATTATTATTTACCACGTCACTTATTCACTCTCTTTTATTCCCACTTTATGTATCCTTATTTTTCGACTTATACAGCAGCTCGCCTATGGTGGAAACTCGATTCTATCTAAACGTTCTCGAGTCACTACCTGGTGGAAAATTGTATGCTACCACCAAATACGAATACTGAAGCAATTTTTCTGAAACCACATGCACCACTCAAACTAGCTGCCTTCAACGTTCGCCCACTTATGCAGGTCGGACAACAGATAGGGTTGGCTATATCTTTGCAAAGTCTTAATATCGACGTTTG